GCCCGGAGAGAACAGTTTCGGTCGCAGGGGACTGAGCTGGACACCCCGAGGCCGGGCACAGGGCCGGGGCCTCCGGGCACCTCCGCCGGCGGCACAGCGGCAGGTGCGTCTGAAGTTCTACGTGTGAGTCAGGAACGTTCAGGGGTGGCACCTGGGGAAGCGTGAACATGGAGGAAAGGGAGCAAATGCCATGGCTGCTCGCACCCCTCGCCTGACACACATGCTTCCTTCTCCCCGGCTCCCGCCCCCCCCCCCCCCCCCCCCCCCCCCCCCCCCTCTTTCCACTCATTTTCTTCCTTCTGATTCCGTTGGACTCTCCTCCTTCCATCCTGGCAATGCAAACCAGATGCCTCTCCAGCTACCCCTGCCCCGACGGGGCGTGTGCCTGGGGTCGGGGCGGGGACACTGAGTCTTGAAAGAACCGATCTTTTGGGAAATGCCAGGTAGAAGCAGTGACCCTCCCATCGGTGAGACGGCCTCAGGCTGGGCCTGGGACCAGAGCCCATCGCAGATGAGGCTCATGCTGAAGGGCTGTGTGTCTTTCCGTTTCTAAAGATCGTCTTATCTTGGTCAGAGCTGAACCTCACGCTCTTCAGCCTCAAAGCGTACCCGCTTGAGAGATTCAACATTAGACCCGTCAACAAAAACAAAACAAAATCTCTTCCGCGGCTAAGGATGGAGAATGTGATGAAACATGTTATCGCTAAGCTTGCGAAATTGTTGATGTTTGCCCGGGTCAGCGCTGGTGCGGTCTGGGAGCCTGCACGGACAAGATGACATTTTTGTTGCATTTGACAGATTAGAACCCTCCAGCGAATAAAGCAAAGCGATGCACGTTCTAAAGCAAACGAAACGCGTACGAAGAGGACCCTGTGGCTGGTCAGGCAGCAGGTGCACCTGCCTTCGCCCCCGTGACGATTTCATCAAACAAGAACCCAGCATCGCGATTGTGTAAACACCGGGCCAAGCTGGCGGCCTTTGGCAGCGGCACTCTGAGCAGAGACGGTGGCTGTGGGCCTGTACACGTCGGTGGCTGTGGGCCTGGACACGTCCGTGGCTGTGGGCCTGGACACGTCCGTGGCTGTGGGCCTGTACACGTCGGTGGCTGTGGGCCTGTACACGTCCGTGGCTGTGGGCCTGTACACGTCGGTGGCTGTGGGCCTGTACACGTCCGTGGCTGTGGGCCTGTACACGTCGGTGGCTGTGGGCCTGTACACGTCCGTGGCTGTGGGCCTGTACACGTCGGTGGCTGTGGGCCTGTACACGTCCGTGGCTGTGGGCCTGTACACGTCGGTGGCTGTGGGCCTGTACACGTCCGTGGCTGTGGGCCTGTACACGTCGGTGGCTGTGGGCCTGTACACGTCCGTGGCTGTGGGCCTGTACACGTCGGTGGCTGTGGGCCTGTACACGTCCGTGGCTGTGGGCCTGTACACGTCGGTGGCTGTGGGCCTGTACACGTCCGTGGCTGTGGGCCTGTACACGTCGGTGGCTGTGGGCCTGTACACGTCCGTGGCTGTGGGCCTGTACACGTCGGTGGCTGTGGGCCTGTACACGTCCGTGGCTGTGGGCCTGTACACGTCGGTGGCTGTGGGCCTGTACACGTCCGTGGCTGTGGGCCTGTACACGTCGGTGGCTGTGGGCCTGTACACGTCCGTGGCTGTGGGCCTGTACACGTCGGTGGCTGTGGGCCTGTACACGTCCGTGGCTGTGGGCCTGTACACGTCGGTGGCTGTGGGCCTGTACACGTCCGTGGCTGTGGGCCTGTACACGTCGGTGGCTGTGGGCCTGTACACGTCCGTGGCTGTGGGCCGGCACACGTCGCCTTGGGGATCTTTCAGCTCAGCGAAGGCTTGTAGGTCACTGTCTCACCTCAAAAAAAGTGAGCTGATGACTGTGCTGGGAAACGCTTATGTCATTTCCAGGGGCGGTAACACCTCTGCCCACAGAGCAGCCAGAATTAGGTTGGTGCGTAGCATTCAGTTCAATGAGGAGCAGCCCAGTTAAATGTCACCCCAGAGTGCCCCATGCAAATGAGGAGGCGCTGCTGGGAGCGTGGCTGGCAGCATGAGATCAGCGGGGTTCCCTGTGGGGTGCAGGATTGGGGACACACTCTGGAGAAGGCCCGGCATTGCTTCCTCCTCTTGCTCCTGGCTCAGGGCCGTGGTACCGATGATCAGTGTGAGCGGCAGGAAAGGGACATTTCAGACTCGAGCTCAGTAGCCATGACCGTTTCCCGGAGAGCGAGGGGCCAGGCGTGGCGCTCAGTACTTCGTGTTCACTGTTGCATCCACTCCTCGCTCAGGGAGGAGGGAGTGTTGCTGCATCTGGAAGGTATGGGTTCCAAAAACTGAGACTGAGGGAGGTTAAGAAATCTGTGCACGGTCACGTGACCACCAGGGGTCCTGAGCCTCGATTCCATCATCAGCTGACAGCTGAGCGTGGCTCTTACCCACCTGCTCCACCTGCTGCTCCCACTCCGGGCGGAGGGGGTGGTAGAGTCGGGGAAAGGCAGCACATCAAACCCACCGTGAGAGAGCACTTTCCATCTGCTAGGATGGTTTAATCAATTTCTTTTTTCTTTTAATATATTTTTATTGACCCAAGAGAGGAAGGGAGAGGGAGAGAGAGATAGAAACATCAGTGATGAGAGAGAAGCATGGATTGGCTGCCTCCTGCACACCCCACACTGGGGATCGAGCCTAAACCCGGGCATGTGCCCTGACCGGGAATCGAACCGTGACCTCCTGCTTCATAGGTCGACACTCAACCACTGAGCCAGGCCGGCCGGGTAATAAATGTCTTTTAATTAAAATAAATAACAAGTGGTAGCAAGAATGTGGAGACTTTAAACCCTCTTATATTGTCGCTGGGAATGTAAAATGGGGCAGCTACTGTGGGAAAGAGTCTGGCAATTTCTCCAAAAATGCAACAGGAATCCCATGCCGTGCAGCACCTCCGCGCCAGGAGCGCGCTCAGGAGAGCTGGGGCTCGCCGGCTGGGCTCAGCGCACAGGGCATTGGCCCGTGGACGAAGGGTCCCGGGTTTGGTTCCGGTCAAGGGCACGGGTCTCAGTTGCAGGAGATGTTTCTCTCTGTCTGTCTCTCCCCCTCCCTCCCACCCTCCCTAAACATCAATGGGGAAATATCCTCGGGGGAGGATTCACAACAACAATACGTTGTTGTTTTTTAAAAAAAAGAGAGAACTGGAAACACATGTCCATACAGACACCTGCTCACAGATGTTCCCAGCAACACTGTTAACAGGAGTCAAGCAGCGGCAACAGCTCCATCCCTCAGCCGCCGAGCGACTAAACCCAACACCAGAACCGCATACCGTGCGATGGCTTTTATGTGAAATGTCCAGAATAGGACCATCTCTAGCGACGGACAGGAGAGGAGTGGCTGCCAGGACGAGGGGGAGGGGCCCTGGGAGGGGAGGGGCCCTGGGAAGTGACCGCTAATGGGCACAGGGTTCCTTTGGGACGAAGAACATGTTCTGGAATTACGTGCTGGGGATGGCTGCACAGCCCGGTGGGTATACTGAAACCCATCGAAATGGACACTTTAAAATGTGTTATGTGAACTGTATCTTAGTTTTCCAAAAAGGCAACTTCAGGTCAGGCTCAGGAGGCTCCTGAATTCTGAGACAGCGGGAGCCACTGGAAGTTTCTAAGGACAGTGCATGATGGGAGGCATGGACACATACAGTGCTCAGCACAGAGCAAATGCCTAGGAAATGTTAGCGCCTGTCCTCTCCCTTCGTCCCCCAGTTCAGCACCCAGCCTCCTTGTCTCCCTGGGGACGGGGGGGGGGGGGGGGGGGGGGGCTTTCTGTTTAGATCCCAAGGCAAAACCCATCTGTTTCCGTCAAAACCCCTCTTGCTATTAGTTCAGGTTGTCTTCCTGAGACAGGAGACACGATGCTGGACAGTTCATCTTAGCGTCTCTAAAGCAACCTCCTCCCCTCCCCTCCTGCCCCCCACCCTCCCTTTCTCTTCCTGACCTCCTCTTCTCCTCCTCCCCCTCCTCCCCTTTCCCCTCCTCTTCTCCCTTCATAGATCTCACTTTGCCCAACA